TGAGAGAGTGGCTGTGTGGATCCCTGGCTGCTGGTCAGGGTCAAACCAAAACAATAAACAACACAGAAAATATCCTGTGTATGAAACTGTGAACCACTCGAACCAACATGAGTTTATAAGATTTTCATTCTCTTAGCTTCTTCCTTATATTTGTCACTCCTCTCTGTGTATGAAACTTAGTGTTGGAACACGCATATAATTTTGAACAAGAGAAACAAGAAACTCCCTGGATAAGTTTTCTCTCTGTTAGTAAGAGCCCAGTTCCAGGAGGTGATCTACAGTAATTTACCGTTAACTTAAAAAATATGCGGATGGTCTGGAATGTAATCCATGTGAAATTTATTTTACTTTGTAGTGTAAGTTTATAGATTATGGTACACAAAGAAATCAGTCTCGTCTTCTGAACCGTAGGCTGTGCTGAGAAATGATGAATGAATAGATCCTGTGCTTACTGCTTAAGAGCACCTTTGGTGTTGTTGGCTTACTGGACAGTAGATTCAAACTACATCTCTGAAAGATTCAGTCATTCTAGATCAACAGCCGATGAAATATTTGAGAGTTTTTATTACTTTGGAGAAATGCTTTGCACAACCAATGGTATTTCTGCTCCTAAGCTCAAAAAAATAAAGAGCAAGTTTCAGTAAGCACTTGAGCTAGAATTGCACAGTTAAAGAAAATAATTCTAAAGTGCAGGTAAAACACATCATAACGGTGCTTGGACAGTACTAAACCCATTGTGACTAAGAGTATAAAGGACATGCTCATTAATCAGATGTCATTATTAAATAATTTTGGAAATTTACAGTTAGCAATAGGCCATATGATAAATGTTATAGTAATTCTTTTTGAATTAGGAGCTCATTGGGATTTTTAAGTAAAATACATTCCTTTCTTGTATTCTGTCTTACTTTCTGAGAGTATTTATGCTCTAACTACAAATAATTGATTGGTTAATTGAAGTAGTTCTTAGTTTGGTGGTTTTTTAATGAATAAAATCCATTTTCCTTTATGTGGTATCTGTTGTGACAATATGAGTTGATTTTCAGGGAGCTTTATGCTGAGTGACATTTCTTTCATTCTAGTCATAAACCTACTTTTTTTCTTGTCTAACAGATTTGTACAAAGGGTAAGGTGCATATATTCAAATATCTAACTGTACAAGCCTGTCAGATTAAAACAGCAGATTCACTGTATCTTAATGCCATAGAACAACAGCATTTGCCACAACCCGTGGAAGAGAGGTATGTATGAAAATCTCACTTATTTGTTTCACCTAGCACTTCTAAACAAAGTGAAATAAATATAAATATATATTTAGCTGCCAGAGTTTCATTTCTTTAGATGCTATTTAGAATGTGCTTTTTTGAGCAGAGATTTGTTTTGTTTTAATACAATTTATTCTAGTGAAATCCCTATAAGAGTTTAGAAGAAAATGCTATTGCCAATCACTTCAGATTAAATTTAGCAAGTGATTTAAGATTCAGATTAATCAGATACTTCGTTCACATGAAGACTGATAAAATTCTGTTTTAAATTGCTGTTTCAATCTGGATTCAGGATTACAGCTTTCAAGATTGCAAATGAGGAGATAATAAGGCATATGTAAAAAAAAAAAGTTAGTTAATGGGGGTATTGCATTTAATAGTGTACTTTAAAATCAGTAGAGGTCATGCTAGGTAATGAAACCAGAAGAGACAGCAGTTTCCATTATTATAGTAATCTTCTTTAAAACCTAAATTTCAAAGTCTATTTTAAAGCACCAAAAGGAGGTTTCTGTGTTAATAGTTACTTCAAGCCACAGGAGATATCTGTTCATTTTTAATGCATCAATGGTTACAGTTATATCTGGCGATTCCAGTTTGAGTTGAACTACTTCAGTTGCTTAGCCCGTGGCTAAATCGCTTCAGTCAGACTCCTGTGCTACTTAGCTAGTAACTAAACATTTGTATCTAGTGTGTAGACAAAGGCAAGCTTTATAGCATATTATTTCTGTTGCTTTCATTAATCCTTAGGCTAACCAGCCATTATATCCGATCTATTTTACTATTGCCAGGCTGTAAATTTGTAGTTTTTCACCATACTAGGCTATTTCACTATCTATCATTAAGACTTGTTGGAATTTCACTTTGATTTAAGTGAAACCAGGACAGAATTCTAATGATTAATGCTCTTTTCCCTAGCAGCAGCTTTTTATTGTTTGTTTGTTTATTTATTTATTTTAAAAATTATTTACATCCAGCATTGATGACATCTACCCAAGCAAAAAGGACTCAGATTCAGGTGTTGGTAGTGATAACGGCGATAAACGTTTATCAGCAACAGAGGTAAGTTGCCTTAATTTTGTGTCCAGCTCCCCTTCCAGCACCCATATTTTGACTGTGCTTTAAATTAGGTAAAATTGTGAATACATTTTTAGCAATCAAAACTATGCAACCATATCCTTGTCATGAAGTTCTCACTAAGAAGTGGCTAAAACAAAGGTCACGGAATCACGGAGTGGTAGGGGTTTGAAGGGACCTGTGGAGATTATCTAGTCCAACCCCTCTGCCAATTCAGGTTCTTCACCTAGAGTAGGTCACACAGGAACACGTCCACGTGGGCTTTGGTTATCTCCAGAGATGGAGACTCCACAACCTCTCTGGGCAGCCTGTTCCAGTGCTCTGTCACCCTCACAGTAAAGAATTTCCTTCTTGTGTTTAGATGGAACTTCCTATGTTCAAGTTTGTGCCTGTTACCTCTTGTCGTGTCAGTGGGCACCACTGAAAAAAGACTGGCCTCATCTTTTAAGTATTTGTAAGCAATGATAAGATCCCCCCTCAGTCTTCTCTTCTCCATACTAAAAAGACCCAGTCCCTCAGCCTTTCTTCATAAGAGATGTTCTAGTCCCCTAGTCATCTTCATAGCCCTTTGCTGTACCCTCTCCAGTAGTTCCTTGTCCTTCTTGAACTGGAGAGCCCAGAACTGGACACAGTATTCCAGTTGAGGCCTCACCAGGGCAGAGTAGAGGCGGGGGACTGGCCTGGCCTTGGCCAGAGGCAGCTCTGACTTTTACCTGGGGCTGAGGGAGGTTCTGGAAGTTTTATAAGGAGCCACCTCTCACAACCCTCCCACTGCTACCAAAAAACTGCACCAGATGCAAACCCATGACAGGACCAAACTGGAATCCACCATAGAGTAAATGTCGTAACAGGTTACACACCTGGTGGCCTCTCGTGTGTTTTTGCTGTGACTGATGATTCTTTCCTGTTGGACATAAGGAGGTCGGTGGGTCCAGTCCCTGTTTGTTCTGTGGTATCACGGTTATAGCAGTTTGCTATAGTGTAGGAACTTGAGGAACTCTGCACATCTTAATGCACTTACATGCTCTGGCAGTAAGGCAATCATAGAATTATGGAATGTTTGGGGTTGGAAGGGACCTCTAGACAGCCAGGGGTGCTCATCCTGAAGCGATCACAGAATCACAGAATGTCAGAGGTTGGAAGGGACCTCTAGAGATCATCCAGTCCAGCCTCCCTGCCAGAGCAGGATCCCCTAGGGCAGCCACACAGGAACACATCCAGGTGGGTTTTGAAAGTCTCCAGAGAAGGAGACTCCACAACCTCTCTGGGCAGCCTGTGCCAGTGCTCTGTCACCCTCACAGTAAAGAAGTTTCACCTCATGTTAAGCTGGAACTTTCTGTGTTCTAACTTAAACCCATTATTTCTTGTTCTGTTGCTGAGCACCACTGAAAAGAGATTGTCCCCTTCTTCTTGACACCCACCCCTCAGATATTCATATACGTTAGTGCTGGAAATAAGCCTGCAGAGTTTTTCCTGAACTAAGTTGTCTGATTGAGCAAGGAGAAAGGATGGCTTTCTGAGACTGGTGTTGTCTGAAGCAGTTCAAGCTGACTTTCTTAGAACTTGTTTCTGAGGCACCGCTTAGCTGAACAGGGTATTAAATCTTGTCGGAGTTGAACTCATTATTTAATGATAAATAAGTAAAGAATTTGAAATATAATTCAGTGATGATCTTTCTGAAATGTACAAATAATAGTATCTGTGATCTGGCTGAATAGAAAATACTCAGGTCATAATGAAGGAATAAGCTTCTTGCTACTTAAAACAATTTTACGCTGATTCCTTAGTGTTTCTCTCCTACTTTGGGGAGAAGTGATTCTGTTACTTTTGAAATAAATGTGTAAAGAATCGAGTTTAAGTATTGAGTTTGTACTTATTAAAAAGCAAATTGAAAAGTAATCCACTTAAACGCTGACTGGTTGGTTAAATACAGAAGCACTTAAAAAACCCCAAACAACTCCACAGGGATTTCCAAGTATTTGGGCAAGTTTCTAGCTACATGGAAAAGAAGCCGGATTAGTGTGATTTCTAGCCAGACTTCAAATGGTTTTCCTCTAGTTGTAAAAGCAAGCGATCCATTCCAACACTTACAAGCTGTTTTGCCTTTCTTACACTTCCTGAAGCTGAGTTAGCTCCTTGATGAAACCATTAGTCCAGAATTTCCTCTAGCTGTAAATAACACCTTCAGAAAATAGACCGTCTTCCTTGTAATCAAAACGTAGCAATTGGAATGCTGCAAAAAAAAAAAGTTTTAAAGACGAGCAACAGTCACCCAACACACTTTTATCAGAACAAAAGTTTTCTAGATGAGAACTTTTTACTCATATTTTCTCCTGCCATCCCTGCCTGACCACTTCTCTACTATTAAGGAGAAAATACATGCTGAGATCAGTAATCTCAAATGTATTGATGCTCTTCCTTCTGATGCGACCTTTAATACCTATGCTAAACATGAGAATTGTGCAAGAAATATTAGCATGTTGTGAATACGGATTCACATACGTTGTTAATTACAATTTGAAATCTACCTACCAAACATTGTAGCATTTAGATTCATTTTCCACTTCCTTTTGGCCTTATTTTTTCCTCAATTAAAATTCGTTAGAACAAAAGACTGCTTGCTGAGACCCAAGTAGTGTCTCTGCTTTATTTCCCATAAAAGTGATGCATTAGTACCAGCAAGAATGTCTATGAAGATTCAAAACACGTAATCTGAATTCAGTGTTGGAATAGTGATAGGGTTTTTATTCTTATGTGTCTGCTGTCTTCTGTTGCTAACTAAATAAAAATAAAATTGTGGACGAAGGGAGATAGAGTATTTCACCTATGAAGGAACAATACTTTTTTATTGTCACGGGCTGCTTTGGATGGTTTCTGTTTCATAGTACACTGGTAGGAAACACCTGGAAAGTCAATTGCAGAATTCTGAAGGCCCTGAAAGTGAGACATAGCCTTTCATAGCATCATAGAATGGCTTGAGTTGGAAGGACCTTAAAGATTGTCTAGTTCCAACCCCCTTGCCAGGGGCAGGCACCCCTCCCACTAGACCAGGTTGCTCAAGCCCCATCCAGCCTGGCCTTAAAAACTTCCAGGGATGGGGCTTCCACAACTTCTCTGGGCGACCTGTTCCAGTGTCTCACCACCCTCATAATAAATGATTTCTTCCTAACATCTAATCTAAATCTACCCTGCTCTAGTATAAAACTGTTGCCCCTTATCCTGTCACTACCCACCCCTGTAAACAATCCCTCCACAGCTTTTCTGTAGCCCCCTTGAGGTACTGGGAGGCTGCTATAAGGTCTCCCCAGAGCTCTCTCTCCTCCAGACTGAGCAGACCCAACTCGCTCAGCCTGTCCTCGTAGGAGGGGTGCTCCAGCCCCCTGATCATTTTTCTGGCCCTTCTCTGGCTGCTCCAAGAGGTCCGTGTCCTTGTGCTGAAGGCTTCAGAGTTGGAGGGGCAGAATCAACCTCTCTCAACCTGCTAGCCATGCTTTCAACCCAGGACATGGTTGGCTTTTTGGGCTGTGAGCACACATTGCCGACTCATGTTAAGTGCTTCATCGCATAGGAATGGTTTTCTGTTGCAAAATTGAATGGCCAATGGCTTTGTTTTACACCAACATTCAAAAATATTTTCCCAAAAGCTGTATGTGTTACTCTGCTGAGGAAAAAGTTAATGCCTGGTTTAGTGTTTAGAACTTGTAATAATGCATATAAGAAGATTTTATGGTGATATTTTCAAATGATAGTCATGAAGTTAAGAAAACATGATTCTTTGATCTAGAATAAATAATTTTAGTGCCTAAATGCCACATAAGTTACAGCCTGACAGAAAGAGAACGAACTTCACTGCTACCTTGGTTGTCTGAATGAGTTTCTACTGTTCATGTCTGGGCTTTTTTAAGCTATTGGATTGTAACTGTTTCAGGTCTAAAAAAAGCTACTGACTTTTGTGCTTAGAATACTTGGGAGTGTGGTTTTGGGTATTTGAAATAACTAATTTTCATTTTAAAATAAAATGTATTTTAAAAATTGACAAGCAGTAACAGTGCTGCAATGTTAGTTCACTTCATTAAGATGTGTCATCATTTTGATAAGACTTTATCAAGTCGCTGAACATACTTTTGAATCTTTTCCTCTTTAAGCCGAAGAATACATCAAGTGAGTTAGTAGAGTTAATAACATGCAATTTATTCATAAAGAAGAATATTTATGGTGGTTCATATTTATGGTGTAGGTATTGAGTGCAGGGTATTCTTGACAGCTAGGAATAACCATGCCAGGTTTTTAAGAGCAAAGCAAATTTGGTCCATCCCTTATCATAAACATTAGTTTCAGGATTTATAAAAATATTTTTTATACGGAATATGAACCTATAAAGTTACCAGAATAGGATAACTCTTCTGGAAACTTGTGACTGTGGGATTGAATAACTGATTGCATGTGACAGTCTCCCACTCCACTGCATATCTTGTGTTACAATAGGCTGAGCTGAGAAACAGGGAAATACAGTTTCCTTAAAAATGCATATTCTTAATGGATATGGAACAAACTGCTGTGTGTGTTTTTATAGCAGTTAGAATTACAGACTATATATATGGAATATGTATACAAAGAGTAGTGAGTTACAGAAACACAGAGCATCAGCAGAATGAGCAACACCAGTGGGTTTGCTGGGAAATACATTTGCAGAACTCCAAGAGACTGTTGTGGTGATAAGCTCTATATCTCGGGAAAGCAAGAATAAAAACTCGGCCTCTTTGCAAACTGGACTTTTGCTGTAGTTGCCCTCAGGAGAGAATGTGAGCAGGTCCCAGCCCATCCCGCTTGACAGCAGAGCTGTAGTAGCATGGGACAGAAGCAAAGGCTGGTGTGTCAGATCTTCTTGTGTAGCCACTGTCTGTAAAGTCACTGACAAGATAAGTTTGTAGATAAAAGTGATGTGCTTCAGTGTACCAACTAATACAGCTGGAAAAAAAAATGGATGGGCTTTCAATTCAGTGAGGAAAAGCTGATGTACGGGAGACTTTATGCTCTACCAGTTAATCTAATAAACAGTAATGCCTCAGCTTACAAAGTTCATCTTGCTTGCTTTAGGCATTAACTTAACAAGCTGCACGGTAAAGCAGGGGAGAGGAGTCTAGGAGGAAAAGAAAAAAGGAATGTGGTGCAAGGCTCAGTTTTTCTCCAGACCTTGGTGACTCCGAGCAGCCTCTGTTCCCAGCTCATTGTTCCGGAAAAGCGCAGAAAGAGCAGCCTGGTGCTGTGGTGTCACTACAAGGAGAAGACTAGAGCAGTGAGGGGGAGAGGAGAAGAGGGCAGATGAACTGTTCTGCTCCGCAAGCCTCCCATGAGGATGTATTCAGCATGAGTACAGCTTCCTACAACAGGATTTGGTCATGTTAAGATGCTCTGCTATCCTCTCCCACATTAGTTTGCCACTCTTTAGTGAGCACTCTTCTTATGTATGTTTTTATTGCTCTTGGTTTTAGTTGAAACCAGTGTTTCTCTTACTTCTTTTTAGCCCTCTGATGAAGATACAATCAGCTTTAATGTTCCAATGTCGGACATCGTGGAAGAAGATCAGATCGTAAAGGAAGATTCAGGTCACCACGTTAACTCAAGAAAAGGTTGGAACGTAACAGAAATGGAAGTTAAATACAGGGAAATTCTGTCAATAGTTCCATGTATAAGACTTTAAATTCAGTTTGCAAAAACTATAACCAAACAAGCATCAATCTTTTTATAAAAGAGATCCGTTTTATTTACTGCTATTTTTCCTCAGGATTTGTAGTGTTTAATTTTACACTGAATAGATGCCTTATTAAATTGATTTTTCTTGCTGATGTTCATGTTGAACAATGGGTATTTTCATTACCCTTTGTGTTTTAATTTTTTTGGTAATAATTACTTACCTACCTAAAAGGCTTTGGGCATGTGTAGGCAGTCATGTAAAAAAAGCAAAAAAGCTTTTTAGCTGCACTGAATCAAGGTCCTTTGATAGGCATTTCCTGCAGCTCTTCCAATGAACTTTTTACACCTTTTCTCAAGAATTAGGAAGTTCTAGTTCTGACTCGGGGAAGAAAAGTGGGGGCTGGTTTAAACCACGATTCACGACAAGTGATATCAACGTGTTATAACTTTTCAAATGCTAATTCTGATTCATAGTTAACTGCACAAAAGCAGAATCTGTTTCTGTAGTTGGACTTGATGATTATATAAAAGTTTATTCATTCAAGTCTGCATTACCTCTGGAAACAAGTAAATCTCTTCAGGCTTTGCAAGGAGGTATAATTTTATCTAAATTTTATTCAGCTAACATTTTTCTAAATTACATCTACATCCTGATAATATTTCTCCAAGGTCTGCACATACTAATGATAAATGGCAGGATGAAGTCACTGGGTTCTGTATGGAAACCACATAAATAGGAGATCAGCCTTTCCCCAGTATTAAATACTAGATTAAATGAACTTCGATTGAGATACCCCTGAGAATTTAGTACAATATGAAGGGAGATAATAAGAGCATTATATCCTGTATCCTAACAAATTGGAGAGAATAAGTTTTAGGATCAGACCAATTCAAACAAAGGAGAAAATCGTTACTGCCTCATACCCCTGGAAATAGTATATATAAGCAAGTGGTTGACATAGGCTGTGAAGGCTCTGAACCATTTTGTTTTGAGTTCTGCTGAGAGTCTGGCAGTTTGTTACAGCATAATAACTCAGAAGTTTCATTAAACTGCTTGTCACTGTCTGAGACATTCGAATGTCTTAAAAAACTCTGCAGCTGTCCAGCTGTGTTCTTGTACCAGTACCGGCAAGAAATACTTTGTGTAGTTCAAAACTGACTCTGTCGATGTCTGCTGTGATGCTTCTGAAGTTACAACTGTATGAGGCATCTGTCATTAAGATGCAAAGATCTTAAATTGTTTGATGTTTCTAATATGCTTTGAATTTAAATTTTAGTTTTAAGCTGTATAATTTAATACACTTAAATTATGTTGAGTTACAAATGTTGAGCTGAAGCAGAAATAATTCTTCTGTCTTTTTTTATTGTTGTTATTAGTGGAATTCCATCAAGGATCTTCTCACTTGATTGTCAATGATAAGTCAAGAGAAACAGGAAGCGAGTTTGATGAATCGGATACTCTTACTACTGAATTTATGAGTTACATTAAGGCAAGTTTTTGACAATTTTAAGTGGGGGGGAAATATCTTCACTACTTTAATAAGTGTAGAACAGACAGGAGTGACAAACTGCAATTTAGTGAGGAGACCAGAATTGATGGTTGTTGTCATAAAAGATATAGAAAGCAAAAATAAGCAAATAGGTTTAAAGTGATTATAATAAATTTAAGAGCTCAATTTACCCATAACTCTCTTTAGAATATGTGTGAGAGTTATCCTTTAACTATGTTTAGACCTTTAAGAAAAAGTGGCAGGTATGTTGAACAGTCTATGATTCTAATATTGTACTATTTACTGTATATTTTGAATTCACCAATTTTTGCATTTGTTTCATTAGTAAAATGTGAGAAGACTTTCAGCGTCAGCTGCGGTGACTCAAGTTATAAAATAATGTTACAATATTAAAATACATTTTCTGAAAGGGTTTAAAATTATATTAGAAATTGAGAGATTTATAAAGAGAAATAATACCAAGTTTAGTATAGAATCTATTATTCTAGTTGGCAACTTCCTTTCTTAATGTATTTAGGGAGTATGTGCTGACTGTTACAAACTTTATACATGCTATATGTTGATAGGAAAGTGCGTATGAATAATCGTATGTATAACAAAACATTTGTGTGTGTATATATAATGAAGTATATAAAAAACCCACAGGTTATCCACAATAAGAAGCTTTGAGTTTATACCCATAATTGTTTTTTGTATGTGAAGGTCTGGGTACCACTTTAGTTTCCTCAGGACTTTGATTATTGAGCACCGGGACTGTGCTTTGCTGGTTACACGTTTCATAGGTAGTTGCTTCATCCATTTGAAAGTATTATTCTTGCCTTTCTGTCATGGTTAATGAGTACGTGCTTATTAGCCATGAGGCATATTCCTGGCTTATGGATACTTGCCATGGAACTATCAAACATGTTTTCTTTTTGAACTGTTTTTCCTAATGGATGACCTTTTAGAAATTATTCTGTGTTGTGCCTTTTTGCCTGTTTTAAGTTGTATTTTCCCCATTCATATTGTCATTTACTCTTTTTTTTTTCCTATTAGTGGCATTAAGTTTAATAGAATATGTGTAGATGTGCATATTCAGTACAATATAGGTTACTGTATTAAATTTCAGTAAAAGAATATTGCCAGAATATGAGCAGTTTAAATTTAAAAAAAATTTTATTATCCTCTTAAGATTATGGCAGTTATGAACAGCAGTTGGTGACTTGAACAGGTAGTACATCCATTTTACTCTAAGGATTTTGGACTCGCATTTTTCGAATTCTTGTGCCCATTTCCGAGTCTGTTGTGTTTTTTGATTTATAGTTAGTCGTGTAGTAGAATGCCTTTTGGGACAGTGAAAGTCTTCTAAAATTAAAAATCTCGTTAACCAAGCAATACATAAAATCAGTACAGCTTTCAATGGAAAAGAGGAGCTTAGCTGTGGAATTTTTTGAACGTTAGTCCAAGTTCATATGGCTTTATCTTATCTACGTAGTTATGCCCAGAGACTGAAAATTACCTAGAATAAGTGCTGTATTTTTGTCATCTTACGATATGTGCCCTTCTTGTGGGGAAAAATCACATACTTCAATCCTGTAAGGAGAAGAAAAAGAGGAAAGAATGACTTTATTCATCCTACTGGGGACTGGCACTGGGAACTGGGCCATCTCTGGTGAATGTTAGAGAAGCCGGTAGTCTCTTCGGTGGCACATCTGGCAGAGCTGGCTGGCATTTATTGGTACGGGGTGATGCGACTGATGTGCCAAACATGTGACAAAAAAGAGGTGAAGCCTCTCTGTTTTCTGCTGTTCCTTCTCTCCTAGAACAAATGCACAACCATTTAGAGAGCTTCTATCTTTACTGGCAGCTGAACTACTTCAGTGTTCCTGCCTGTCTGAGGTGAAAGAGAAAAGAAAATTGCAGAGCACCAAATAGAAGCGTAAGAGAGACAGTTGTGTTTTCATAGTTTTATAGGTAGGGCAGTGGGAGCTCTAATTTATGCCTACACTGAATCCAAAATAACTGACTGACTGGATGCTCACACGCAGTTTTTGTTCTTATTCATTTTAAAAAAAAATTATCCATGGCTGTTAAAATCGTTGTGTGGAAATCCTATTAACAATTATGGATGAAGTACACAATTGCTACTCTTTGCATATTTGGAATTTCCTTGCTCCGTAAACAAATCTGGCTACAGTAGGAGAGCAAATGAGAAGAGAATTAGGGTTGTGCTTAATTGAAGCATTGTTTGCATACGCCAGGAAGGCACAAATGAAATCTGGGGCATAGAGTAAAGAATTCTCATGCTGCTTGACTTTCTTTTTACTATTAAAGGAGGGTAAGGGCTGTTGACCTCAATAAAATTTTAACAGTGGATAGAAGATCTTGCAATTAGTAGGTTAAAAGAGGGTAGAGTGAGGAGTAGAGCCGAAGTGTTGGATTGCTTCAACTAGCCACCCTAAACAGTTACATAAATTAGGTCAGTGCTGAGTCTGAAAGCAAAATTTATCTGCCTGCTCAATTGCAAAGTTCAGTTCTCAATACCGCTTTGTCTGCTTACAGAGCAGAGCAGCAGAGTGTGATGAATTACTGAGAATAGAAGAGGACACACAATGGCAAACAGACGAAATGTGAGTATTTTTTATGTATCTGTAGGTAATTAGCTGTAGCATTTAAATAGATTGACCAGAACCAGCATTTCTTTGTCAATTAATGAGGTGTAGACTCGGAGGCATGGCAAAAGCACAGCCTCGCGCTTTCTGTGTGTTCAATGTTTTACATGTTCTTGTGGAATAGAGTAGATGTTATATTACAAGTGATTAATTTCTACACACCAGTAGTGCTGTAGTATTTTTGTACCTGTGTAGAATGTAAGCTTTTTAATTAGGTATTTTGATATTTAGTTTGTTAGTGATATTGGTAAAAAAAAGGATTTTGCCAAAACCTCCTAGGATCTAAATTTAATGCACATTAAAAAAATAATTTAATTGAAAAAAGCCCTTCAGTCTTTTTTCTTCTTTTGTCATAATTTTAACCCTGAAGTAGTTATTAATTCATCAGTTGCTGAGAAAAGTGCATAAAAAAAGGAGATTTAACATGACACTGTACTGTGAAGTTGTCACTCATCGTAACAGTGGAGTCCTATATGATTTAAAAACAAAAACTGGAAGAAGGGAAGAATAAGTAGTTTCTGAAAGAGTCTAATTGTCAGAACTAACGGTAAACCCCCAAAAGGATTACAGATATTGAAAAGCAAAAGGAAGCGTCCTGGTCCATTAAAAGGATTGTGGTGTATAGGATTATGTTAGAACAGTACATGTGATGAGTGCAGGTAATGAGTCACATACTGATAAATAAATTTTCAATTTTAGAAGTCTGTATCTTTAATTGAATGTTACAAGTTTTAGTTAATCTCATTTATTTATGTTTGTATATACTAGGTTGGGGAGCTTTGCTAAGGGCAAAGTGCTGGAGAATTTTTTCAGAGGAAACTCTTTCCATAAATTCAGCACATCCTAATGTGCACAGAGGCTTGGTTTTCCCCTTTGTGGTGTTTGCATGGCAGTTGGAAGATACAGCTCACAAACTGAAATTCCGACTACCCTTGATAATTGCTGTTGTACATCTTTTTTTGAATGCTTTTGTTTCTGTTATAGAATAAATTTATCAGAAGAACAAACTATTGATATAGCAATGATAGAACAACTAAGAGAAGCAGTAGATTTATTACAGGATCCCAACAGGTATGCTTATAATAGCTACTGTGTTAATGTAACATATCTAAAATTTTCTGAATGATTATAGAGTTCTTTTAAACTGTTAAAAGTTCTCTGGGGTTATGAAGTGCTTTGTTAGCATACTGAAGGTGCTTGGACAGTTAAGAAAGAAACCTGTGTTCTCTCTCTTGAGTTGGATAAGATTCCCAGTAAATTAAAAAGGGTTTTGGCATAGAAGAAACCTAAACTTGGAGGTGGAGTTACCCCTTAACCATCATTTATCTTGTGTACACTACTGTGATTTTCTGAAGTTTTGTCTAGGATTGTCACATTTCTTCTAGAGGCTATAAACTCTCCTTTACTTAGTCGTGTTTGCTGTATTTTGTAAGAATGGGGAAGGTCTTCTGGCCCAGCTTCATCCCAACTCAATGGAGCACATAAAGGAGGTGCCTGAATTAGTGGTGGAGTGTCTGAAATTAAGAGGAGAAAGAGGAAAAGGCAGCTGAAGAAAGTTGTCTAGACTTCCCCTGACTACAGAAGACAAGATTTTATAATTTAGGTGCCCGCTTTAAGTGGCTGAAGTCAGGTAGAATTACTCTGGATGTGTTAATAAACAAAGGAATAAGTATTTAAAAGAAAATAAATGCTTGTCTTACTGAAAAGGACTAACAAGAGTGGTGTAGGTAGTTCTGTCCAGATGCTTGCTATTGCTTTTCTTTGTGTAATCGCTTTCAGAAATCGTTAATTTCAAAACTATGTATCTCATCTTTCTTCCTTACTTCTGTGGGGTAGCTGGTTTTACAGTTTCATTTCTCCGAAGACTAGAAACCACCTTGTCACTTCCAGCCTTAAGTATCCCTGTTTCTCCTCCTTCCCTTGGCCAGAGCAGTTTGTGCTTGTGACTACACTTTTTTTGAGTTTAAAGTTATCTTTCTGATACTGCTTTTTCACCTAGCAAACCTTTGTACTTTTTAGGCCAGAAATCCATTCCTTTTGGTATTTTTAGAGAGACAATTATTCTGCATCATATAAAGAACACTTGGATTCTTCATCATATGCTAAAGACTGGAATCACAAGTGTTTTTGCTTAATAAGAAGTCATACAAATTATGAAAGCTTTTTAGTTCCAGTGGTTTATGTGAGATGATATACCAGTGATTCTGCACCTCTTATGAGGCTTATTACTTTCTGGGAAAAGTCTTGCAATTAGAAAAGTTAAAAGTCTGGCTTGGAAAAAGCAATGTTAAAAAAAATTTTTTTAGCCTTATGAATTTTGCCTTTTTGTTTTTTTGTCAAATATTGCCCTAATATTTCCTACTTATTTCCTTATTTCCTACTTATTTCCTACTTATTTTTTCTTATTAAACTAAAAAAGACATTAAAATACAGAAAATTAATCTTTCTCCATGCATATTCAGGTATGCTTTAATTAGTAACACTGCAGTAAATTTGGAATGTGATTTTTAAAAACAGCTAATCATGTCATGCATGTCTTTTATTTACGTAGCATTGTTGTGGTTTTTTTTCTTTTATAGCTGCACTTTTTCTCTCACCTTAATCTATGAGTATTTATTTTTAATTTACTGAGCACTATATAGACTCTTCTGTGCACATCTCCTGTATGATAACATCCAGACTTACCCATCAAGATACACCTGGGTGCATAATACCAAGAGGTTTCAGACTCGACCTTTTTCAGTACTTTCATGTTTGCTTCAGGCTCCTATATTCGCTTTCCTGTATTCATGTTGTCTGTCTTGAATTATTGTGGCACTGCTTTATTTTCATCCACTGCAAATTCAGTTTTAATACCTAAGGAGGGCTGTGGCTTCTTTTTGAACACAGGGTGCTAGAAGTTGGATATAGAAATCTGCAGTCTTCTAGATAATGGCACGGTTGTTGGTAGTAAACAGCCCTTTTGTTTCGATAAAAGCCATTGCTCAGGGGGACATTTTTTGCAGATGAAAGCATTCATGTTGCTTTTTTTCATGTTGTTAAGAGGTAACACTGAGCAGGTCAAAACCGTGAATATAAAAGTATTTCATATATTCATTTGTCTGAAATTAAGTACTGAACAGGATGATTGCCAAAACTATACCCCAGTGCAATGTTTCTATTTCAAACCTTACAGATTAAGCATGGATATTTCAGAGAGCAGTGGTGTGAATCTGTATCCTTTGGAACCAGCTACAGCTTTAGAATTTCAGGAGTCTACAGTAAAGTGTGTTTATCTACCTTTTCTAGAAAAAAAATAATGCATTTGTTAGATTCATCACATTCAAGGTTCTACAAAATGAATTACATATTTGCATTTGTTTATCTTTATACATAGCAGTCAAATGCAGATGGAGATGTCTTCCCTTGGCCAGGTATGTTAATGAGCATCTTAATACAAAATATTTGGGTGGGATGAAAGAGAGGAAATGAGCCAAAAATTTTGTCAATTATTAATCTACCCAGTAGAGAAGGGAAAAAGTTATTAGGCTGGAGGACAAAACTAATTTTTCTTTAATATTTTGATAGAATTATTGCCATTTTTGCTGTGTGTGTATGTAAAGTTTTTTGGATTTATCAGTTACTTTTTCATATTTTTTTTTCTTTTTTCTTCCTGTCGACAGCTTTCATGTATTCCAGTTCATAGCTGAACTATGCATACTCATCTATCATCCCACCTCCCTTAAACTTAAAAATTTATGTTTTCTTGGACCACCGTCTCTATAGCTGCAGAGAGTATATGAAGAATGATTTGGAGGCTTACAGTGTGATATATGCAGCTTATATATGCTGATCTGTATCCTGGCTGGTGAACTTGCAATCTTTAGGAAATACTTTGTTTAGATTTACATTATCTACCTGTTAGCACGGGAACTGCAAGTCTATAGTATCTGCTTAGTTCTTTATTTGTTTTTCATTACCTAATTGGTAAGAAATACTTCTGAGGTAATTTTATGCAAAAATATATGTAGTTTTATTTCCAGTGATACAGTCTAAAGATTTTTTTTTTCTTACAGAGAGAAAATGCTGAAGAGGAACTAGAATTTCAGAGGAGAAGGGACTTGATAATGGAGAAAGCAAAGCCTGAAGTGAGAACTTGTGAACAGGGTGAAAAATGGTCTTTGGGTCAGGTATGGAGATGTCTAGATGCCTGTAGGGTGGGAGCATTTAAAATGCATCATTACCTTCTGGCAGTTTGTGTGTGGAGGTAATAGTGGCTTTAGGCCCACTGGGTTTAGTTGTGGACTTTTTTTAAGGCTTATTTGTTTGTTCAGGTTTTTAATTATTTTTTTACTTTTATCTAAGCATGAATTTCAAGGTTTGGCTGTAAACGAAAAGTTATTGAGAGCTCTCAGGAAAAAAAAAAAGAAAAGATATAATGAAATTGATAGAAGTCTTTTCTCTCCAATACAAACTTTAGCAGTTGCAGTGGTTTCACTTCTCTGGGAAAAATAAGTGGACTGAAAGTCAGATCTTCAATAAAATGAAACACCTGAGTCTTTTTCCTCCACACACCCCGTAATCTTGTAGATATATAAGCTGCTAAGTTTTTGCTAACAGCAGTATTTTTAATGTGTTTAATATTACAGACAGACTGTATATAGGCTGAGATGGTATTTTAAGTTTTATGTACTTTGCAATGATATAGAAATAAACAACTACAAAAATATTTAAATATTTGGTGCATAGGTTGAATCTGATCTGTCTTGATGCTTTCCAAATATTCTTGTGCGTAATCATCATTACTATCAAATATTCCTACATTATCATTTATGTAACAAAGAACACTGCTGATTCACTTTTAAGAGCCTTTTAAAAAGAAATGAACTTTTCTAAATGCTTGTAGAGGACCCGATGTGGACTGTATTAGGCAGGTGAAAGCACTGGGCATGTTTCATGAAATGGAAACACACTCTGCAAGAGCAAATTTTCAATCATGCCCCATTCTGTGTAGCACAGGTTACTGCTTCTGTTACTAAATTAATTCAATTTAGGATAAAATTCAAAATTCTTACCAGTGACCTGCATGCTCTGAGAGAGATTAGACCTGCCAGCGTCAGCATAAATAGCAGATCTGTCACAAGAAAATAGTCCCTGAGCACAGGAGGGCTCAAGCATGTGAGTCTCCAGGTAGAACTGACTGGGATCAGCAGAGTAAGATTCCTTTTAAGTTTTCCAATGCTGGGTTTTATTTTTGTTTCAATTTAAAAAAAAAGGCCCTAAGGAAGTGATTTTGAATTGAATTATAATTTCATTTTGCTTCTCTGTTTCTGCTGGGTTATGACTGGTGCAGAATTAATGATTGTATTTCACCTTTATTAACTTGATTTACATGTTTCCAATTTAACTATAGCAGAAGCGTTAATGAAAGGTATAGTTATAAAATTACTGCTTACAGAATACTTCTCACCAAATCTTTAATAAAAAAGCTCTACATGTGCATATTAAACATTTGGTGATACTTTAATTTTGAGATCTGAGAAGCAAAACTGGATACTACACTGCATTTGAACGAACAAACATTAACATTTGATAAATGCGGTTACCATGACTTAGGATTGAAACTAAAAAAAAAAATCCTAAATCTGTGCAAATAATTTCCACAAGTTTTTTAAGTGCTCAGCTAGCAGTAAAACCACTATTTATGAAAACTAGTTGTTTCACAGAAAAAAATAATTATTGATGTGTATCTGAATATCATGAGTAAAATCTCCTATTGTGATGTATCATTAATATAGTTGGTGAAATGTTCTTTTTCCTTTTTTTTCCCCCCCAAACACACAGAATGATCTAATTGTTTGGAATACAAGTGGGCAGACTTCTCATGGTGAGGTAAGTTGCTCGCGCCATTTGTTTGTCTCTTTGTCTTTTTTATGATTTATGTGTAACTGGCTCATATACTAAATGAAACATGTAATTGAATATCACAGATAAAATGACTAAGTTCATCAGTAATGGCTATGTGGTTTATTTGGCCTGTGGTTTATTCTTGTTGTCATAAGGATTTACTTGAGAATAAAAATGGACTTTTTGATAAGCTTGTTTCTGAGTAGTGTAGTTTAATATAAAACATTTAATTTTTTAACATTTTGTTTATTTTGCCACGTTTTCTTTTTTCTGGTCTTTTCCTTGTTCCACAAGAGTTTCTGTTGATATTGGTGCAATTTCTTTTTCACAGTTGTGTCACATCCTTGATTAATTTTCAGAGAGGAGTCTGATTTTATTAATCCTATTGCTCTCACGATATGAATCTCAGCAGAAAGTCAAAAAGTGAAGCTGTACAGAGCTCCTCATGGAGATTTCTTTCCCCTTCATATTTTCTATGCAGAAATAAGATTTTTCTTTCCGTGTTACACTGTGTATGAGCATCCTGCAAATCCATGAGCACCTGGTCAACTTCCACCGGTTTTGGTGCTGGATTCTTATAGTTCCTGCCTCCCTGAAGAATCGCTTTTAAAATAGGGCAATCCTGCTCCGAGGTGTATCCTTAACTTCCTCTTTTCTGCTTTTTAGGCAGACATTCAGTGTTGTGTGGAAAATAATATGCGGAATGGTAATTAATTCTGTTGAAAGAAACAAACATAACGGAGAAAAAATTGTGTCTTTACTCTGTTTTTCTAAATGTGTGCTATTCCACAAAAATGGATGTTTAATGCAACCAAATGCTTACATGGGAGAAAACTGAGAATATCTTGCAGTCTTTGATCAGAAACTCATCTTTTCCAGCAAAGGAATAGGATGCAATAAAAAGAGGGAGATTATCATAGCTTTGAGGCTGTACTGTGATCAGATTCTGGTGGAATAGTTGGAGTTGCAGTATTGTTAACTTTTACATTTTATATTGTTAACGTGCTGAGATATTCTGGATGTTAACCTTACTTGGCTTTATGTTCTTAAATTGCACAGAGCAAAGATAAAAGTCCGACAATGTCTCCTACAAACACCTCAATTCCTTTTGGCCTGAAGCCACGATCAGGTAATGTGAAGAAGAAAAGTAACCAGTTTGTGTGTTGTGTTTTTGTTTGTTTGTTTTTTTCTTTAATCTGTGTTATTAATACATTTTTTAATTATTTTTTTTTGCCCGTGAGAAGGTAGTGATGAAATATTTTGTGTACAAGTTAAGATTAGAACATTTGAAGGTTTTAGGGTTGAATCAAGATTGAATTTTTAACAAGCATGTTTTTGGCACACTATATATGGATCGGTTTTCATCCCTTACTAGTAAATTAGGTGTTTTATGAAATTATATATATGTTTAAAAATATGTTTATATATATAAACACACATTTTACACATGTATACATGTATCATCTGTGCTGACATACTAATTGGAATATGATTTTTTTTCCTAATTGGTATGTAGTGATACCTTTTAGATTTTGTTGAATGATATATGTGAATAATTAGACTTGTTTGAAAATGCCTGTGCATTGCTCTGGAAATTGCAATTTCAGTAGCTATGCTTGCATAAGGATCAAGCTTTATAGGAAGATTAGATGTTTACTTCAGTTAGTAGCTGAGTTTGGATTTGCAATGTAGTAAATCGGCATAACCATCAATCTTCTAACAAGCAGCAGTTTATTTATAAAAAAAAACCCCACACAACCCCCCCCCTAAACACCAAAAAAACCCCCACAAAGCAAAACCCACCCAAACTCCTATTGATGTGTCTCAGGGCTTGGATAACAGCTTCCTTTAAAAACAGGTTTAGCTACAGGATTCAGCTCAGGTTTTATTTTCTCTGTGCTGAGGTAGTCAGTATTGTTAAGTCACCTCACATCACCTCTAAAGAGTAACCGTAGGTTTTCCAGTATGTTTCGGTGCCCTAAGACTAAATCTAGTTTCTTGCATTCACCACAAATGCTTTTAATCAAATGCTGCTAAACTATTATAAGCTTGTAGTTTCCATAACCAAGTATCTTGGCAATAATGGCAACGGTTTCACATTTGAATGTTTTAAGAAATTGTACCCATAGATTTTTATTGTGTTTAAAAAGCAAAGAAAATGATATTGAACCAACATTTTTCATGAAGAGGATATTTTAAATTTCTCATGTAGTTTTGATACACAGCTTGACAGATTTATTCAGTTCCATTTTGTAGTTTTCTGGACTGTTTGTCTGGCTCTATTCTTGTATGTTCCTGATGCTCTAGAGATGTTGTTATTTCTCTGTGTATTTAAAGCATAGATTAAAAAAATGAGCAAAGGGATCCTTTCGAGATTTGAAAAAAACCCCGAACTTTGAGTAATATTGCACAGTCCAGTGGCAGTATTACAAAAATGCCATTAGGAGAAAGAGGTGTGAAGGCAAAGGGGCCCACGCCGTGTTGCTGCTTTCACGGGGCGTAACCTGTGTCCTGCTGAGCTGCCGCTGGAATCTGTGCTGGAGCCTGGAAGCATCATTGTGGGAGAAGAATGCAAGACCATGGCTACTTGTTCAGTTTTGAATCTCAGTATGTCAGTGCAAAGAGATGTCCTATACTTAATAACTGTAATAGCTCAGGACAAAATAGCCTAATGAATCTTATTTTTTTAGAGAATTTCTAGCAAGACTGGATCGCGGTGCCTGCAGTCCTTTACAACAAGTCATCCAAGTCCCAGAATGGAAAACCAGATGTGCACAGTTCCTAAAGTTCTGCCCCTGACTGTATGTGTGTAGCCCCAAAGTCAGTTGGTCATAACCTGATGATTTTCTGCACTGTACCAATTCAAATTCGTTTATTTGAATTGCTCAGGGTATGCTAAAACTGCAGTGTCTGTTGGTTACAGCTGTGGGTTGCAGAAAACTTGAATATCTGAATTTATTTTCCTTTCCATATCAAACACAACAAAGTCACAAAGCTAGAGATAGTACTGCACAGTCTTTCAACTCATCACATCCTGTTTCAGTCATGGTACCTTAAATTTCTAGCATGGTAAGACAGGGGAATTTGGCACTAGTAAAACTTCAGGTCTGACTTCATATGTCTATCGATCATGGAAGTAGGGGCTGGCTACTTGGGTGGAGTATAGGATTGCTGTCAGAGGATGTAGGGAGGCAACTAGGAAAGCCAAGGCCTCCTTGGAATTAAACCTTGCAAAGGAGGTCAAGGACAACAGAAAGGGCTTCTTCAAATACATTGCCAACAAGACTAACACTAGAGGCAATGTCAGCCCTCTAGTGAATGGGGTGGGTGCCCTGGAGACAGAGGACAGGAAGAAGGCAGATTAGCTGAAGGCCTTCTTTGCCTCTGTCTGTACTGCTGGAGACTGTTCTCAGGAGCCCCAGAGCCCTGAAGCCCCAGAGGAAGTCAGGATAAAGGAGGATTTTGCCTTGGTTTATGAGGAGGACTGGGTTAGGAATCAATTAAGCAATCTCAACATCCATAAATCCATGGGCCCTGATGGGATGCACCTACAGGTGCTGAGGGAGCTGGCAGGAGTCATTGCTGGACCACTCTCCATCATCTTTGGTAAGTTGTGGGCAACAGGAGAGGTGCCTGAGGGCTAGAGGAAAGCAGATGTCACTCCAGTCTTCAAAAAGGGCAAGAAGGAGGACCTGGGTAGTTACAGACCAGTCAGCCTCACCTCTGTCCCTGGAAAGATGATGGAAGAACTTATCCTCGGTGTTGTCTCTGGGCATATCAAGGAAAAGAGGGTCATTAGGAGCAGTCGGCATGGCTTTGCCAAGGGTAAGTCAGGTTTGACCAACCTGATAGCCTTTTATGTAGATGTAACCAGGTGGGTGGATGATGGCTGTGCAGTGGACATGATTTATCTGGATTTCAGTGAGGTCTGGATGACTGATTAGTGAGGTGGATTGTGAACTGGTTGAAGGGAAGAAGTCAGAGAGCTGTGGTCAGTGGGGCAGAGTCTAGCTGGAGGCCTGTGTCTAGTGGAGTCCCTCAGGGGTTGGTACTGGGACCAGTACTAGTCAATATATTCATCAACGACTTGAATGAGGGAATAGAGAGCACTGTCAGCAAATTTGCTGATGACATAAAGCTGGGAGGAGTGGCTGACGCACTGAAACGCTGTGCTGCCATTCAGAGAGACTTGGACAGGCTGGACAGATGGACGGGGAGAAATTTTATGAAATTCAGCAAGGGCAAGTGTTTTGCACCTGGGAAAGCACTGGCACAGGCTGCCCGGAGAGATTGTGGAGTCTCCTTCTCTGGAGACATTCAGAGCCCGCCTGGACACGTTCCTGCACGACCTACTGTAGGTGATCCTACTCTAACAGGGTGGTTGGTCTTTCGAGGTTGGTTCCAACCCTTGACATTCTGTGATTCTCTGAAAAGACAGTATATTTACTCTGTAGCACAATGTAAGAAGCTGAAACTTTGCAAAGGAGTCGTGAAACTGTGTATTGTACCCTCTCCTGCTCCCACCCTAGAATTACTCTAAAAGGAGTATTAAATTTGTTTTGCTAACATGGAGGAATAATTTACAGATCAAATTAATACATGACTGAAAATAACTGGCTTTTTTGTGAATTCTGCATGTTTTTCCTGTTAAAGCTGGTTAGCTTGCCATGTCTCTTAGTTTCTTCACTGTATTTCCCTTAAAATTCTGTGCAAGTTTTATGCGAGTTTGAACCACACTATCACTGTCTGAATTTGTACTTCTTAATTATATATAGCTTTATTGCTCTATAGCTGACATAGTCTAGGGGTCCAGCAATTCTGTGATCCAGGAAGGTTTTTCAGCTTGGTTTATAGTTTATTTCAATCGGTTTTTTTCAATTAAGCTCTTCATGGCCATAGGGGAAACCTTAAAACTCATTGGAAATAAGTTTTAGCTGTTCATTAGAGCTTACATTTCAAGTACTTGCTTCTAAAAATATTTTAAATCTGAGAGCAAGATTAAAAGGACATTAAAGTATTCTAAGTAAAATACATACATCATACTCATTGGAAAAAAACAGTGGCAAATTTTCAATGAAAATATGTGCACCCGTACCTTTCTGGAATCTGAGAGTTTGTTCTAGCTGTTTATTTTCATCTATTTTAACAGATTGTTGCTTTCCATTTCACCTTCCCCCCTTCCCCATCATTTTATAATGATTTATGTCTCTTGGCGAGGTGGAAAGAAACTGTTCTAGACTTCTGGTAAGGATTCCAGTTTTTTAAAGTGCACACACAGATGACAGTCCTTCCAGGGGATAAACCACAGTGGCTCAAGCTTCTGTGCTAGTACGTACTGACACATGTTCAGGACTGAAAGTCCTTTTAATCTTTCATTTTAAAGCTAGGCAAAACATGGGAAAAAATCATATCTGATGACTGACATTGTACCCAAAGAAAATGTTTTGAAAGATAATTAATGTGTCTTGACTTCTTGACAGATTCTTTTCAAGGGTCAGATGTTTACATAGAAGTTAAAAAGCAAGAGGATTTTTTTTTTATATTTCAGAATATTTCCTCCTGTATTTTAAATACTTTCCTAAAGTGTGAGCTTCTCAAATTCACATTAGTTTTGAACACTTTAAAAAAGTGCTATTGAGAAGAATCAATAACTGCAAGTTTTCTTAGAACCATAGTGTTGCTCTTGGGAAGTGCTTTTGCTCTCTTGAAAGGAACCACTCAAAAGTATTTAATGAATTTGAACTCTTTCTGCTTGATTCATGAATTGATTAACATGTTTAGAGTGGTGCTCATTGTCAAAACTAGGTGTTGCAAAGTTCTTGCCATGATATCTTTTATGTGCCAGACCTTGAAGCCTGAATATCTACTGATACATCTTGCAGTACTCGAGACTATTTTTTGCTTTATTCTGTGTCATTTTGAGGTCACCGTGTTTCATAATTTTTGGTGAACAAGGTGACAACAACACAGACGGACAAACCAAGAAATGTACCTTCAGAGGCTAAAAGAAGTGCTGACAAATCTCAGAATCACAAAGCGGTTTGTATTATGAAGTGAGAAGTTGTTCCTTTGCAACTGTTTACTTTAGCAAAATCTTACTTGTGAATCCAGTTTCTTCACTTTTTGGTA